GAATAACACACACACATTTGCAAATATTCACCAGGGCAGCAAAGAAGGATTTTACCCTAGGATCCATGGAGCATTTGTATGAAAGCAAATTAGATTTTTTTTTCCCCTGGAGGATCCATAATTATCTTACTTCAAAGTCACAGAGGACCCCTATCCTCAGAGTGCATGAAGAGCTAAGCTCTTGTTACAAGATCCTGACAGGGACTGGATTTCCACTTGCTATCTATGTGATAACAAATTGCCCAACCGCTCTAACCTATGTAGGGTGCAGAGCAAGCCCTGAGAGAGTGACTGTCTTGAGAGCATGTGTATCTTTTCACGGGCATGGCCTGTCAAGGACTCCAAGACCAATTGACCCATGGGAAATTGGCAAAGCAGTTTGGGCCGGACTCAAGAGAAATGACAGAGCTTTTTCTTTTCCAGAGACAGGTCTGAGTATTTATGAATGATTGATCCGTGTGTGCAAAGACTACCAACTGCAGCTTCTTCCTCCTGGGCGTTTACTGCTTGTATATACAGACCTCCTACAGAGACCGGCCAATCCCTCCCCTTGTGCAAAACTACTAAATACACTGAGGTTGTCAGCCATGGTAGCTGTATGTTAGAATCCCCAAGCCCAGCTTTGTTCTTGTGTGTTGGTCCTTCATTCTGTCGCTGTCCCTAGTCAGTGCTCCAGGACCCAATCTGTGTGGGTCATAGCTCTAAACTTTGCGTTCTTTGTCTCCAACAATAAGGGAATAATTTCTGTTACGCTTATCTTGTAGGTGGTTATGACTTTTTTTTATAAGATGTAGTAACCCAGCTTAGTGGTTCAGGCTTGTAATCCCAGATAATTAGTGGACAGAGGCGTGAGGATAACAAGTTCAAAGCCTGCCAGTATTACAAAGTTAGTACAAGGTCAACCAGGGTAGCTTAAGGAGACCGTGTTTCAAAATAAAAACATTTTCAGAGGCAGTGTTTCTCAACGTGTCAATCATGACTCCTTTGGGGGTCAAATAATCTTTTCACGTGGGTCACCTGAGATCATCAAAAACGCAGATATTTACATTACGATTCATAACAGTAGCAAAACCATAATTGTGAAGTAGCAACAAAAATAATCTTATGGTTGGGGGTCAACGCAACATGAGGAACTGTACTAAAGGGTCACATCATTAGGAAGGTTGAGAACCACTACTTTAAAGATCTGAGTGAAGGCAGAAAGGGCTCACAAGCCCCTACCCCTAGCTGAGGAGTTATTACAGTTAATACTTGTTGGAGGCGGGAGACAGTTTTCTTTAAGGGTGGAGCCCCTGGTAGGTATACCATTCCTCCAGTGGATAGCCCAACACCTATGAGTATATCCACAGCATGAATTGGGCATGAAGTTAAGAGAGGGCCAAAGGTAGATTTGGAAAGAGTTGGAGAAGGAGTGTGTGGGGGGGGTGAATGAGATTAAAATACATTGTAAGTGTGTATGTAATTGGCAAAAAATTAATAAAAATATATTTTAAAAGTATGAGGCTACAGTCCAGTGATGGAATGTTTGCTTGTGTGTGAGAAGCCCTGTTTAAACCCCTAATACCTCAAATAAAACAAAACAAAGCCAAAAAATCAAAATAAAACAAAATTCCTTAAAGCACAATATTAATATTTGTGCTTATTGGTTTATTTGGTTTTTTGTTTTTGGTTCTGCCAACTTAACACAAACTAGGGCCATCTGGGAAGGGTTAGGACCTCAGCTGAGAAAATGCCTCCCTCAGATTGGCCTGTAGACAAGTCTGTGGGGCATTCCACCACGGGTGTTGTTACTCCTGAGCAAGTGATCTTGGTTTTTTTGAGAAAACAACTGAGGAGCTGAAGAGATGGTTCCGAGGTTAAGAACACTCTTAAAAGCTGTTCTTTGAGAGGACCTAGGTTCAAGTCTCAGCACCCATGGGGCAGCTAACAACCATCTCTAATTCCAGGTCCAGGGAATCTGATGCTGTCTTCCAGTTTCTGTAATTACTGCATAGTCATGGTGTCCAGACTGTGCAGGCAAAAGACTCATACATATGAAATTAAAAAATGTTAAAAAAAAAAAGAAAGGAAGAAAGAAAGAAAGGAAGGAAGGAAGCAGGCTAAATAAGCCATGGAAAGCAACTCAACAGCCAACATTCCTCTATGATCTCTCCTTCAGTTCCTGCCTCCAGATTCCTACCTTGAGTTCCTGCCCTGACTTCCCTTCAGGATAGACTATAAACTATAAGCAGTAACAAATAAACCCTTTTCTCCCCTGTTACTTTTGGTCTTGGTGTTTATCATAGCAGTAGAAACCTAACAGGACAATGTTTGGAAATCAAAACACAAGGCTAGAAAGAATGACAAAATGTAGGGCTTATCAAAACCCTAGAGATGTCTAATATTTTCCACTCACATACAATGAAATCAAGACTGGGAAGGTGTCCAGGAACAGGCAGCTAATCTGGGACAGAGCCAAGACCAGAGAGAGGGCCTTTTCTGAGCTATGTGCCAGGTTGTAGGAAAGACAGCCTAAGCGTGCAGCCGGTCCCCTGACTCTGCGAGCCCTTTGTAGCAGCAGGCAGGCCTCTCGCTTCCTCAGCCTCAGAGACAATACTTTCTGGCTGAGTTCACAGTTATCTACCTCCTCACTCTGCTCTGTTGCAGCTTCATTTCTGTTCCTTCCTTCCAGCCGATGACTCCTGTGGAAATGGTTCCCATTTGTGGTTACAGCAATACCACATAATTGATGACCCCATAGGAGAGACCCAGAGATGAGCTGGGAGTAGCCTGTGTGGAATCCTGAGTCTCGGTAGTCAGTCTAACACTGGAAATTATTCTTGTAAGCAAAAGATAGGTAGGTACAAGCTTGTAGAACAAGCGATACAGAGGTGGCTCAGAGAGCATCTCTTGGGAGCTGTTGGGGGGTGGGCGAGCGGGGACATGTCCTTCCGTCCTTCCTCTGCCTGTCTATCTACAGCCATTGCCTTATGAGTTCGTTTGCTTGCCAGTATGGAAAGAATCCTGGGAGTTCAGCTCATCCGGGTCATGCCCCGCCCCCCTTGAGATGTGACCTGCAGTGTTTCAGAACATGAAGATTCCCTGTTCTTTAGTAAGTGCCCCCAGAGTGCCCAGCCACCCTCTGTGACCGGCAGCATTAACCGTGGAAGGTGGTCTCATGGTTGACCTCCCCCCTTGGCAGTTTCTGATTAGTTCCGCTGGTTCCTACTGATTACAGGAGGGAGTAGTGCCTCCTCAGGGTTTGCACTTTGAAGTCCCTGTTAAATGTTTGACCAGAATGAACCGCCTTACCCTATACTTACTCAGACCCAATAATTTTAGAAACACATTTTATCCACTTGCCTGCTTGATTGCATCTTTCTCCCACTGTTCTACAATATCTGCTACTTGACTGCAGTAACCCTGTCTCCACCGAGCCCCTTCCCCATCTCTATTCTAGAGACCTGCCTCTCTTCTCTACCTAAGAAACATTTCCATTTTTTAATCCACCGACATTTCAATAGCCATACACGCACAAACTGTTTAATTTAGGAGCAGTGTCTGTAGGAAGGAACGCTTTGTTAGTTTCCGGAGTGATGCAAGGCTGAATTTAGAAGTCACTATAACTTTGTTGTTGTTATTCTAGAAGTCAGAGAGGTTATGGATTGTACTGCAGAGGCAGCCTGCCTGATGATGCTAGCATTTTGCAGCATTGGGTTTTTATTTGTTTGTTTTTATAGCATTTTTTATCACCCTTCGTAGACAGTGTGTGTGTGTGTGTGTGTGTGTGTGTGTGAGAGAGAGAGAGAGAGAGAGAGAGAGAGAGAGAGAGAGAGAGAGAGAGAGAGATGGAAGCAGTTTCTCCAAGACAGACCTCCCTTTCTACATGGCCAAGGCCCAGAAAAGGCTAAGGAAGTGTTAATACTGGGTTGAGTCACATGACCTGTAACCCTCTACTTCCTACCTCCTTCTTAGGCTTAGCCCCATTAGCTTCTGGGACCAGGAAATGAGAACAGCCACCAAGTACTGAGCAAAGCAAGGATGTTCTAGATAGTATCTCAGCTGCAGTCCTTGGCTCCTGGAGAAAGCTGACATGCCTAAACCACAGAGTATTGTCCCCCACCCAATCTAAGTAGTTTCTTCCACCCAGACTCATATGCCTATTATTGGAATGGGAGGTAAAATTCAGGAAGCTGTGTCACTCATAACATCACAGCACCAGCATTTGAGAAATCACCCCTCAACACTGCCTCTTCAGCTCCAGGCAAAGTAGCTTTCCTCATGGGTTGGAGGTGCCAGTTGATTGTCATACAGTTTCCTGGCATGTTACAAACATGATTAGTCAAGTTTCTGGATTCCCTAGGGCCAAAAGCCCAGAAAGAGAATGTAATCTTTATTTCCCTCAAGAATGTATACATACATACACATGTGCAAATTCGAGTTTGGAAAGAAAGACAATAAAGGCTGTTTGCAAGAGAAAGTATCAGTAAATAAAGAAATGTACTTGCCCTGGAGCCTGGTGGCATGCCCTTAGTCCTAGCGCTTAAAAGACGGTAGAAGAATCAGAAATGCAAGGATATCCTTGGATACTAGCTGAGTTTGAGGAGGCCAGCCTGGGCTACACGCATCTTATCTCAAAACAAAAAAAAAAGGAAAAGTAAGTCTTTTTGGCATAGTGGTTCACCCCACCCAAAGACTGTGAATTTCATAGGTCAAGAGGTTTCCGGCAGAGGGCGAAGCTGTCTTTCCATTTCTTATCTGGACTACGGCAGTCCTTGACTCTGAATTCCATTGTGTTCTGGAACTGTTCAAATTCCAGACAGCCAGTAGCTGTCACTGGAGTCATCCGATGTAAACTTGTCAGTGACTTCTCTAAAAGATCCAGGAGACCCGGTCCTGGTAGCCAGGGAGGGAGACAGCCATTGGAAGTCAGTGACCTCAGTCACCGATCAGCAGGAAGGCTGTGGGTGGTAAGGGCAGCTTATTCAAAAACAAGAAGGATGTCCACGTGGTGGCGGACTTCGCCATCTTTGCTTTACAGCATGTTTTAGATTTTATTAAAAGTGCCTGGCGCTGGTGTATTGCAGAGCGCTGTCTCGTGGATGGATTCATCTCCACGCATTTTTTATAGCATTTACTAGTGACTCGAGGATGGTGCGGAGAAACAAGAAAGACACTTAGAGACCGGAAAGTCAGGAAAACAAAAGCAGCACACAGGGTCTGGGAGAGCCTGGGAAACAGACTCAGAAGGTAGGTAGGGGAGAAAGGAAAGAAAAAGAAATAAAGAAAACTGAAATTTGGTCCTACGGATTCCGAAAATCTTATTAAGTAAGACGGGGTCCTGGGAGAAGCTAGCCGCGTCCTCCAGGGTGGGGATTGGGCCATCGTGGTGGAAGTGTCTCGGAATTCAGAGCCGAAGAGAAAACCACAAAGGCTCATTGTTTTGTTAGTGCCCTGACTTGGCTCCTGACCACAACTCTCTCTCTCTCTGATAAACGGCCTGAGCTCCCCCTACTGGCAGTTCTGCAGAACTTCACCGTCCAGATTCCAAAAGGAATAGGATTACGTAACCCGATCACTTAAGCTGTTTTCCCCCACCCCACCCCCACTCCCTCTTTCCCAAGGTCTTGCCGTCTCCAAATTCTGTTGCTTAATGTCAGAGCTTTGATACTTCGACTGGATTGATTGCCAAGGTCCTAAGGCCCAGAGAAGGCAGCTATGAAGGACCCAAGCTAATGGGAGGGCACGCAGGAGGGTGGCTGAACATTTATTCGTACACGTGTCAGGCAAATAAAAATGCTGCGGAAAGGCCTGACAAGGGGACTTATTCTGGGCTTTCCTCTTCTTGCCTTAAATGTAACGCTGGCATTAAACAAGACGTTTTTGCTTAGGGGGCCGGCCTGCCTGGGTCTAGGTCGGAGGCCAACCAAAATAAGTACTAAATTGAGTCCGGCTCCTCGGCAGCGAAGGCGCCCCCTCCCCTCTGCAAAAACAGAAAGAACTGAAATGAACTGAGCCCCGAGAAGAGGGAGAGAAGATCTCTCTCTCTCTCTCTCTCTCTCTCTCTCTCTCTCTCTCTCTCTCTCTCTCTCTCTCTCTCTCTCTCTCTCTCTCTCTCTCTCTCTGTGTCTCTGCCCCCCCAGTCTATCTCAGACTCTGTCCCCAACCTCCTCCTCTCTTCTCCCTTATCTCCTCTTCTTAAGTTCGATATAAAACAATGCAGGAGCCCTGTCCTTCCTAAAGGACACAAAGGCTAGCCTTATGTACGGGAAAAGGAAATCCAGAGGCACAGCGCAGGGGAGGGAGATACACGCGGGGACCTGCAGAGCTGGAACACCAGGAACAGAAACTGAGTCTGCAACTAGACTAGACTGGGGCTGCCACACCCGCCGGGGAGCGGTGCTGGGCCAGCCGGGAAACCCGCTGGGCAATAAGCAGTGGACATACCCTCTGGCTGGCTGTACATGGAGGACTGTCGGGAGGCTTGCCCCCATAAAGGACCTTCTTATGTCCCCCTCCTCCTCAAAGGTTAGAAACCCAAACCTCCTCTTCAAAAACTAGCAACTTGCCATGAGAGGCTGAAGTCAGCCTGGTCTACACGGTGAGAACCAGTTTCAAAACACAAAACAGGTTCTTTCTTTGTTAACCCAGAGCTGAACAATCATTGGTTCATCGCCTTGCAAGGAGCGTTGCATTCCTGCGGAAGGGCCTCTTGTTCTTCAGTTCCCTCGGGGCATGGGCAGCTGCCTTTCCTTTGTCCCTCTTCCTCTGTCAGCTTCGCGGTTTCCTCTCATGGTCCAGGGAGCTCACACTAACTCCCAGGGCTGATTCCATCCGTGCTCAGTGCTCAGGGTCTGCCAGAAAGGACAGGGCACTGATGTAAGAGGGAAAAGAGAAAGGTGTTGTCTTGTGCTTGTGAGATTCCCAACACATCTGACGCCCAGCAGGGATCTGGCAAAGCTAGCATATTCCACAGAACTCAAGGGAATTCTTTATTCCGGCTGCAAAGCACCTTTGCTAAATTTCTGGCAAGCTGTCAGCCTCTAAGTCACACCATCTCCCATCTTGAGTAGCCCTTGTCCATTGCCACTAGGGAAGATGAGTTTGGGAGCTTGTGAGTCCATAAGAACAAAAAGACCCTGATAGGCACTGCATAGTACAAATAATATTTATTGCCAATGAAAGATTCACACCGCAAACACACACACACACACACACACACACACGAGGCAAAGGAGGAATGCTCTGTGGAAGATGAAATTTCTGGGTTGCTGAACAGATTTTCTAAGCTGTTAGAAAGGGAAAAATGATGTTAGAAGAAACAGACTCATCAGCTCCTGCTATGGGTGCCTGCCAGCAGGGGGCAGGCTTCAGTCAAATATGGGAAATTATAGGCAGCTAGCCCTGCTCCGAGTTGTAAACTGCATAAATATCCACTCAGCCTCTACCCACCCCGGTTATAGTCCAAGGTTTTTCATAGATCTTGAGAGACTATATAGTTCAAGTAAACAGGCTCTTGATACAAAATTTCTATAGATTAAAAGCTTGGTAGCAAAGGCTGGTTTTGCTCACCCGCACTGGGTGCTACAAGCTGCAGCTGCGATGGCCTGCGCAGTCACTGCAGTGACTTGTCTCTGTCTTGGGACTGACAAAGTCACCCAAAGCTGCATATTGTTTGCAGGGAGGTGGGGGGCATGGGTGGGAGTGTTTTGACTTATATTTGACTCAGAAAAGCAAGCGCCAGTACCACGGGCTCAGTAGAGTCCTCTATGTTGGTTTTGTTTAGTGAGTATGGAAAAATCCAAGGAACATAGAGAAGGAAAATATTTCCTTAAGCTCTGGGCCAGTCTCATGCTTCAGTCCTAGGCACACATGCTGGAGAACTAAAAAGAAAATATGACATACATACATACATACATACATACATGTGTACCCAAAAATCTGTACACACTATTGTTCATCATGGCCCCCAAAGCCAAAAAATGTCACTTGACTGATGGTTTATCTAGTGAACATCTCAGTTACAGAAATGAATGGAACACCTAAGGAGCTGTTATCAAGGATACACCTTTATTTACATCGCTAAGCTAACTGAAGGAAGCTAGTTACAAGCTAGTTACAAGAGATTGTGTATTGTGTGGTTATCCCATTTATATTCCACAGAAACAGAAATTATGTGAGTGATTGCTGGGGCCTGGAGGAAGACATCGATGGGGAGGAAGGACTCCTAAGAATAAGAACATTTCTTTTGGGGATGATAATGTTCTAAAATTGCAAAGTGTTGATGGGCAAGGTTAGACAACTTTGTGGATGTATTAAAAATGGCCAAATCATGCTGTTTAGGAGAAAAAATTCTACATATGGTGTTGTAATTTAAGAAAAGCGGTGTGCTGGAGAAAGATGTCAGGTGACAGGGTTCAAGCAGAGGGTTTCTTTTTGTTAGGGAAAAGGATCATAAAAACGGGGAAGGGGAAAAGGAAGGGGGAGACCAGCCTCTGGAGATAGCAGATAGGAGAAAGCAAAAAGGGGAAGAGGAAGGGAGGGGGGAACAGATAGAAAGAGGGAGATAAAGAGAGAAGGATAGGAGGTAGGCAGGGCCCTTTTAAAAGGGAACACAGTGAATTTACACAGGTGGTGCTTTCAGTGGCAGCAGCTGAGGGTGTATCCTGTCAGAATCCCAAGGACAGGCCAGTTCAGATGCCTGAATACTAACATATAGGAACTGTAATTTAAAACAAATATTTGGACCATGACAGAAATTACAGAGGGGAACTCAAAGCAATGAGACTACAAAGAGAATATTTGATGTGGTGGTTTCAATGAAAATGCCCCTCCCCTAGTCTTGTATATTTCCACACTTGATCCCCTGTTGGTGAATTGTTTGAGAATGGTTAGGAGGTGTGGCCTTATTGGAGAAGGTGTGTCACTCAGGGTAGGCTTTGAAGTTTCAAAAGCCTATACCAAGTCCAGTCTCAATCTCTTTCTCTCTCCCTCCCTCCCGCTCCCTCCCTCCCTCCCCCCTCTCTGCCTGCAGATCTGGATGTATATATAGCTCTCATCTACTTCTCCAGCAACATGCCTATCTGCCTCTCAAGACATTTCCTTCCATGATGATAATGTCTAACCTTCTAAAGCCGTAAACAAGCCTCCAATTAAATGCTTTCTTCTATAAGTTTGCCTTGGTCATGGTGTCTCTTTACGGCAATAGCATAGTAACTAAGACATGTGGCTTCTGGGAGGGACACACCCACTGTCAATTAAATAGTTGACTAAGAACAGGGTAGAGTTAAACCAGGTTGAAGACAGAGGTAGCTAAACACAGAGTAGGAAACAAGGAAATTGTCCATGATGCTGAATTACCCTGTTTCTTCTTTAGCTGACTCAAAGGCAGAGAATTTGCACCTCCCATCATGATGGCTGTGGTAAAAGGGTGCTGTTCCACTTGAGACGGTGATGCCGCGTTGACACCCTGTGCAGAGGGAAATAAGAGAGAATCGCAGTCTTCAGTCTCCAGTAACAAGAAAGACTTCCCAGTTCTCAGAAAGTGACAAGGAAGGAAGAAAGGTGATAATAAAGTCACCAACTCAGCTGCCAGGCCCCTTATGCCTGCCACACACTTCCAGCTTTATCACCATTTAAAGGGTACCTGGTGATACTCGCCTGTATCATAGCAACTGGGGAGGCTGGGGAAAGAGGCTTGAAGTTGCCCTGGGCTGTATAGTGAGCTTGTCTCAAAAACAAACAATAATGGGGCTGGGCCAGATAGGTCAGTGGGTAATCATACTTGCTAGCAGGACTGACAGCTGAGTTCAAGCCCCAGGATCACGTGGTGGAAAGAGAGAACAGTCTCCTGAAAGTGGTCCCCTGACCTCCATGTGTGTTCTGTGGCTTATGCTTGCCTCCTCCAGCCACGCATCCAGATAAACACATGAAAAAATTAATAATGATATTCACAGGAGTCCCTGGAAAACCTCACAGAGACTTAACTGTGAGCATCTTTAGGAAACACTTGGAAACTGGAGCAACAAAGAAATAGGTCAAGGTCTTGGAAGGACCCCAGGAGCACAGTAGAGAGGCAGGACATGGAAGGAGCTGGAAAAAAGGAACTTCCTTATTTGCTTGATCTTGTGAGAACCCATCCATGGGACCTGTCTCCCAATGCCCAGGCATAAGCAGTGCAGTGTCTCAGAAAAATCCTTCCCCTAGGGAATACCACACATCTTTGTTACATTCACCCTATTGCTTGATAGAAATAGTAACACACTGACATCATCTTGTGCTATCAAATCAAAAAACGTTTTTATTTCTAAAACACATTGTGAAGAAACTCTGTATAAAATTAAAACTCTGAAATTTTGTGTTTATTGATTACAATGAAAAAAAAACTTGTTCCATAATTGTTTATGTTGGCTAGGGAGAAAAATACTTCTAGAGCATGATAAAACATTTTCCAAGCCTGTGTTTTTCTCCAAGTCTAGCCCTTTGGGTAAATGTTACGCATTCTAGGGACCAAGGGAATATGTCTAATTGTGTCTTACAAACTTGCTTAATTATAGATTCATCCAGGAGACAGGAACTGGGTAGCTAATTATGTAGCTAGATGTTCAAGTGGCTGTTGGCCCTGAAATTCACCACACTCCCAGCCTTGTATCGATCTACAAGCAACTGGCCAAATACCAATTGTTTTGAATAAAGTATATGAATTTAGTAGTGGCAAGACTGATATGGGAGCTAGACAGATCTGGGCTTAAACCTGTGCTATCTTTAGTCAATATCTTTAGTGAAGCTGAGTAAACATGTATTGATCATTCACTATGGGCCACAGACAACACTAGGCACTACCCTCAGTACCCGCTACTTTAAAAAGTTATTTAACCTCTCTACAACTAGGTGTGTAAGATACAAAAGAAAAGAATAATTTTCAAGGTCATTATAAGGAATGAATTGAGTTCCTTAAAATGCCTGGGACATTGCATTCTAAAATGTTCTCCTGTATGTAAGACACTGACTTGGTGTCTGGTACCTATGAGGGGTTTGGTGAAGGTTGTTGTGTTTGTCTTACAGAATATCAGTTTTCAGCTCCCCATTGTATAAATGATGAAACTGTCAGTGTGGAAAGAGGAATCTTGAGTTCTTGTCCCTGTACCCTCTGTCTCTCCTTCACATCCTAAGTGGTTTGACTAGAACATTGCTTAAGATGTGTTAAACAAGGAGGAATGAATGGAGTTCATCTTCTGAGCATCCAGGCAGGAGAGAAGATGTTCTGTAGATCATCTTCTGAGCATCTGGGTGGAAGAGAAGAAGCTCTACAGAGAGATGCTTAGGTTGTAGACTATTGAGACAATTGACCCCAAAGGAATTGGAATTTCTGCAGAAAGTTTGCACTGGGAAAAAGAAAAGGCTGGGATCCTAGTGGCAGTCAAAGGGAGAGCCTGAGATGTCATTTGGTGCTGACTTGCGGATATACCAAGGAGCTAATAGCTGAGAGGATGTACCACTGATGGATGGGTGATGACCACACCTTCATCAGAAATACATACATACATACATACATACATACATACATACAAACTATATTTGAACTTCATGTTAGGACTCAAAAATGAACTCGGGGGATCATTGTTGGGCCTCTTCATTTGTCCCTCTTCCCAATGTGGGCACAGCGAATGAATTCTTCATTGTTCTTCACTGTTAGTTGTCTCCTGGATTGATCCTTTAGGGATTGATATCCAAACCTAGGTTGTTAGCCCCAGTTACCCCTTAAGACCTGCAGTAGAAAGTCCTTTTTCTGAGCTATTTTCTTTATTACAGGGTGGCATTAGCTAACTGATTCTTCAAGACCCCATGCCTTTCTGAGAAGCTTGGGGATGTAGCTGACCATAACCACCTCATTTCACCCTTGCCAAGTGTGTGTTTCCATCTAGTTAAAGAACAGGTACAAACAGATGTAGGATCCTCTTCCATGGCTTTTATTACGAGACAACTGTGTCTAAACTTTACAGCTCTCCTTTCTTTCACACTGTAGGTTGGAACCCGATAGTCTTGAAACAATTTCAGTGGGTCAACAAATGAAATAAAAGCAAATTTAAAATATCAAAGTGCATCACAAGCAGTAGTAAATACTATTTTGTGAAGCTGTTGCTATAAATTTATTTATGTACTGTGATAGCACCATTTTTAAAATATTTTTTAGTGTGAGTAGTGGAGTAGTTACTGCTTTGAGACAAGATCTTTGTTGCCTGCATCTTTTTTTTTTTTTTTGGTTTTTATGAGACAGGGTTTCTCTGTATTGTTTTGGAGGCTGTCGGTCCAGCCTCGAACTCACAGAGATCCGCCTGCCTCTGCCTCCCGAGTGCTGGGATTAAAGGCGTGCGCCACCCATGCCCGGCTTTTTTTCTTACTTTTAAGGTACCCACTGATTCATTTGATGAGTATATGTTAGACACTTACCTATGGAATGCCAGACACTGTTCTAGGCAGTTGAAATGGAGCCACAAACAAGAAAAGACCCCTCTGCTATGGGACTTGCCTTTTAGTGAGGGCAACACAAGTAAGACCAAGGTATGCTCCAGTGTTCAGAAATGTGAGTAAGGACAAAGAAAAGGCAGGCGGGACTTTCATACTCCACAGAGCAGGAGATGCATTGTTACTATTCAGGTTTATACCCTGACAGCTTTTTCTCATGCCAATGCTATTTTTCTTGCAGTTTCAGGACCTCTGGGGACCAAACGTCACATCAGCAAATGTACAGGGTCAGTGATAACCACCATCCAGACTCTTGCTTCTCTCTGATTCTGCTTCCTTCTTCCTTCTTCAAATCATCCCAAGTCCCCATCCATACAACCTCTTCTGCAGCGACTGTGAAACCAGTTCCTCAGCCTCAGGGACTAGGTCCCCCTACTGTGCGTTGAATGGGCGCAGTGGTGGCAGTTGGGCCTTGCTTACTAGGAAGGCTGGTGTCAGGGTTCTATTGAGTACTGACTTTCAATGCCTTTAGTGGTTCATCACAGTTTTCTGTGCAGGCTGGCCTGGAACTCCTGATCCTCCAGCCTTAGCCTCTGGAGAGCTGAGATGACAGGGTTCTTGACAATACCTGGTAACTTTATCGACTTCATCATCTTAAAAATTAGCACACACACACACACACATATGCGCACGCACGGACCCCAAAACATTGAAGTCCAGAGAGGTTGTGACCTGTCCAAAGTCTCAGTGATGAGAAGTGGAAACAGGAGTCTGAAATGTTTGTGGCACGCTTGAGGATTTTGGATTGGCCTCCTTGTTTGCCACCTGCTTTACATCTCGTCCTTATTTCCCCATATAGTCCTTAAGTCGTGTCGTATTGTGGGGAGGCTACGCTGTTGCAGTGTTCTGTGCCCTGTCAGACTTCTATGAGGGGCGAACTGGCTAGATTCATCCCGGCTTAGGAGACCACTAATGGCATAAGTGGATTCTGTGACTGCCACACTGAAAGCCTTAACGAAGCCACACCGAGTCTTGCAGACAAGATCAAACTGGGTCTGTTCCAGAATCACTGTTTACATTTGGGTGTTTCTGACTATCTTGTTTCCTTTAGTGAAGTATTTAAGGAGGTGATGTTACCTTTGAAAATGGGAGTGGGCATGAATAATAGTTTTGGGGTGAAAGTAAGGAACTTAAAATCAAGAGATTTGAACTCTAGAAGTGTGGTTGTGGTGGTACATATATGTACACAGCACTCTGGAGGCTATGGCAGAAGGATCCTAAGCTCAGAGCCTGCTGAGCTACATAGAAAACTGTGTGCCTGTGTAAGAGAGAACAATTTGGACTCTGGTCCCAATTTTATCAGGTGACTGTGGGTTACTCCCTTCCTCTGTTGAGCCTGGGCTACTTTGTACAATGCCTGGTGTTCACCCCTAGCCAGGAATGCTGCTCTGTTTTGTTCGTTTCTGTAGCATTTACAATCACCTTGCAATGAAGAGATGGTCTGAAAGTAGTTTCTGCTGATTAATTTTTTTCTTTTTATAGGTCTCTCTGCATGCTCATGGGTCACTTTTACATTATGCTTTTTTTTTTTGTCCTCCGCTGACCCTTACTGCTTAACATGTATTGTGCCACTTATAAAGCTTCTGGAAAAGGCTCTTTCTGCTAATCCTGTCCTAATGCTGTGACAACTGACAGAGACCATTCCCA